TTAAAGCGTGGTTATGAGGATTAACCAAAGACAATCTGTAACTCTGCCTACTCCCCAGCATAACACACAAAACCTGCAGCTATTCCCCACCCCAAAGAAACCGAATCTAGTCTCCCTTACCTGTTCCATGCAATGCCAATCAACTTTCCAAACAGGTCACTCGAGTTTTTGTAAATAATAATGTCCCCAGAGTAGACACTATCATCTTACAGGTGAGAAAACTAATTCTCAGGACTCAAAGACACAAACCTAATGAATGACAGATGGAGGTCTTCTCAGTGAACGACAGCTGCCACCCAAAAATATCAGCAATTTTAGGAATTAGCAGCTCAATGATCTTTGCTTCAAAAAAGCAAAAACACCACATTCTCACTTTACCACTTCTACATGAAAGCGTGTGTTCTCCAGAAAGTTGTTTCTTGTTTTTTTTTTTTTAAGATGGGAGTTTCACTCTTGTTGCCCAGGCTGGAGTGCACTGGTGCTATCTTGGCTCACCGCAACCTCTGCACCTCCCAGGTTCAAGTGATTCTCCTGCCTCAGCCTCCCGAGTATTACAGGCGTGCGCCACCACACCCGGCTAATTTTTGTATTTTTAGTAGAGACAAGGTTTCTCCACATTGGTCAGGCTGGTCTCAAACTCCCAACTTCAGGTGATCTGCCCGCCTCGGCCTCCCAAAGTGCTAGGATTACAGGCGTGAGCCACCACGCCTGTCCCAGGGAGTATTTTTTTATAGAACTAATCCAAAGGGTCCAATTTCTATGGAGAAAATTTTCTTTGTCATGCCTAAAACACAGTGTAACCCACCATTAAAAGAGGCTTTTTACATACACCTTTGGCCCAGCTAAGGAATGTCAATGTGCTCCCCAGAATGAGGACTTAGAAGTTACAAGATAAACTAAATACTGAACGCCACCACGATGAACCTTCTAAAATAAAGCAAGCACCTCCAACGAGGGGTCTGACCACTCTCGACTTCCTTCCTCCCACCTCTGCCCACTCCTTCCTCCTCCCCATGGTCTGTAAAACAGCTCTTCTCAAGTCACTTGATGACATCCCTGTTGCCAAGTCCAGCTATCAAGGCTCAGTCCTCATTCCCTCTGCCCACACCCAGGGCTCAGTCCTCACTCCCTCCACACCCAGAGCTCAGTCCTCATTCCAATTCCCAAGGCTCAGTCCTCACTCCCCGCCCCACACCCAGGGCTCAGTCCTCACTCCCCCCATACCCAGGGCTCAGTCCTCACTTCCCCCATACCCAGGGCTCAGTCCTCATTCTCCCCATACCCAGGGCTCAGTCCTCACTTCCCCCATACCCAGGGCTCAGTCCTCACTCCCCCCATACCCAGGGCTCAGTCCTCACTACCCCCAATACCCAGGGCTCAGTCCTCACTCCCCCCAACACCCAGGGCTCAGTCCTCACTTCCTCCACACCCAGAGCTCAGTCCTCATTCCAACTCCCAAGGCTCAGTCCTCACTCCCCGCCCCACACCCAGGCCTCCACACCCAGAGCTCAGTCCTCATTCCAACTCCCAAGGCTCAGTCCTCACTCCCCGCCCCACACCCAGGGCTCAGTCCTCACTCCCCCCATACCCAGGGCTCAGTCCTCATTCCCCGCCCAGGCCCCCAGCCGCTAGGCAGCACATGACGCCTGGAAGCATGTGACACGGTGTGACAAGGTGTATCTACCGCCCATTCTTCTGGAAACAGTTCCTGTGGTTTTGTCACCTATGCCGCTAGTCTCTGCTGACTCCCCTTTTCTTCCCAACCTCTGAAGGAGTCTGGTCTAGAGACTTTTCCTCTCCTAATTCTATCCATTCCCAAGGTGATTTCCTCTAATCCCATGATGTTTATCTTCAGTTTGGCCCTCTACCCTCAACTCTAAACCATTTCCAACTGCCTTCTTTGGGGAAGCTGAGCTCAATCTCATGTTACAGAGGGTCAAAGAGGTGACGAAAAATAATGAAAACATACCTCCAAGGAAGCTACTGATGATGAATTTTGAAAAACAGGACATCAGAGTAAATTCAGTTATGCAAACTGAGGATCTGCTGTTTACCAACAAACGGTAGGAAAACATGTAAGAACTGCAGGCTCAATTCCACATAAATGGAGCTGAACACACAACTACAGCTACAGCCTCTTGCTAGCCCTGCATGCATTCAGATGTCGCTTCTCCTTGATGATAGAATCCGGAGTCCTATCTTGGGAACTGCTCATCTTCTCTGGAGTCTCTTGCATTCTGCTTTTTCTTCCCAACACTTTTTTTTGTTTGTTTGTTTTTGTGGTTTTTTTTTTTGAGATGGAGTCTCACTCTGTCACCCAGGCTGGAATGTAGTGGTATGATCTCAGCTCACTGTACCTCAGCCTCCCAGGTTCAAGCAATTCTCCTATCTCAGCCTCCAGAGGAGCTGGGACCACAGGCATGTGCTGCCATGTCTAATGTTTGTATTTTTAGTGGAGATGGGGTTTCACCATGTTGGACAGGCTGGTCTCGAACTCTTGACCTCAGGTGATCTGCCTGCCTCGGCCTCCCAAAGTGCTGGAATTACAGGTGTGAGCCACCACACCCGGCCAACACTTCTTGACACCTCTTTTTGGACCTCAAATTTAGCATGCCCAGAACACACTTTTGATTCCCCCTGCTATTATAACCCACTCCTCCCATAGTCTTCCCCATCCCAATAACAGCATCTTTAGTCTTCCAGTTACTCAGGCCAAAATCCTTGACATCATCCTTAAAACTTCTTTTTCTCTCTCATCATCCAACCCATTTAAACTCTTCTTTCAAAATACATGCCAGACCTAACCACTTCTCACCTTCCTCATCATTTCCAACCAGGTCCAGCCCTCATCATAGCGCTCTGGGTTACTGCAAAAGCCTCCCAATCGCCAGGCACAGTGGCTTACGCCTGTAATCCCAGCACTTTGGTAAGCCAAGGCGGGTGGATCATCAGAGGTCAGGAGTTCGAGACCAGCCTGGCCAACATGGTGAAACCCCTCTACTAAAAATACAAAAATTAGCCGAGCGTGATGGTGGGCACCTGTAATCCCAGCTATCTGGGAGGCTGAAGCAGGAGAATCACTTGAACTCAGAAGGCAGAGGTTGCAGTGAGTCGAGATTGTGCCATTGCACTCCAGCCTGGGTGACAAGAGTGAAACTCCATCTCAGAAGGAAAAAAAAAAAAGCCTCCCAACCCACCTCTCTCCTTCCGCCTTTCACCCTGCCCTGCATTCTACCTTCCACTCTCAAACATTTCGGAAAAAAAAAAATTATATCCACAGAGAAAGTACAAATGGGGTGAAATGTTTGGGGAATCTGAGGGAAGAGTATATGGGAATTCTCTGTACTATTTTTGCAACTTTTCCATAAGTCTGGATTGTTTCGAATTCAAGAGTTAAACAAAGAAAAAAAATAAAAAACACTCTATCTCCCTTTGTGAACCCATCCTGTCTTTCCCCTGGCAACTGAAGGACGCTCTCAACTAACACATCTATTTTTTCATGAACACTAAAAGAACTCTTGTCTAGTTTTCACTTTCTGTGCTTGGCAGTAGAAGTGTGTGTGTGTGTGTGTGTGTGTGTGTGTGTATTTCATATATATGTGTGTGGGTATATATATGTGTGGGTTGTATGTATATATAGAGAGGGAGAAATATATATGTGTGTATATATATAAATATATATTGTATATTTACAATGGTAATGTGTATATATATAAATATATGTGTGTGTGTAGATATATATAATACATACCCCATAGCCTGTCCTTAACCAGTTCTAAACTTAGTCAGAAAAATACATACCTAAGCAGAGAATTTCAAAATAATATGATGAATATTGTGATAGAGGGATGCATTGCTATGGAACACGCTGCTAAGACACAAAACCTCCTAGATGGGATAATGAATGAACTAAGTTGTGCACCTATAGGCACCCCCACTGATATCCTCACGAACTTTTATAGTTATATGCATTTGCTTCCCCCAGGACCCCCGTTTCATAAGGGTTAGTCCTAGAGCCTAGCAAGTTCCTACTACAGCTGGCACACGTATGCCAATCAAGAAACAGCGGCCAAGTGAATGACGAGTTAAGAACCGTTTGTCAGCCAGTGCTCAGTAACACAACATGCACTGGTATGCAAATTATATTTTTGTTGAAAGCAAGGGCAGGATCACAAATTGTCTTTCCAGAGAAGGCAAACCTCAAAAACTTCTTTACCCTACTAAAGCACGTTATAAGAAGCTCCCCTTATATAAAAGAAAACCTCCTCATTCGTTACCAATGGCATGTAAACCTAATAAGCCTTCACCTCTGATGACATCTCTTCCATCCCCAGGGCTAGATGAAGGAGGTTCCAAAAACCCTGGTAATTGTGAAGGTGTCTCCCAGCTCTGACAGTCTTGAACCCTGTGGGAGCGGAGGTCACACAGCAGAAGAACAACAGAGGGAAGCATCATCAGGCTTCGAATATGTTTGAACCAGAGACGGCAAATAGGCTGCAGCCAACTGAAAACACCAGAGATTCACGGCGGCCACCTGAGGGGTTGTGCTCTTAAAAAATAAAAACTAAAAAGTAAAAAAGGAAGGGGTCAAGAATCCATCAGGTCTAACTGAGACGTGTGTCAGTGACTAACACCCCATACGGCAAAAGTACTCCGGTGCGCTTTGGGCCCTCACAGCTGCAGCAGTATTCAAAGGCGTGCGCTTACCTAAGACTAAGCCACAGCGAATACCCCCAGCAACTCTGCCAGGAGAAGCAGCTCACATGGATTTGGCTAGAAATACAGTTGTCTTTAACAAATTAACACTGAATAAATCCTGACTTATTAGAGCCTGTGAGAATGACATTCTCAATGATAACAGTTATCACTACAATCTCCAAACATCTGTGATCCTGCAAGGAGGAACTGTGACAGCACAGGCCACATGTCCAGAATGCTTCCCAGACTGCCTGTAACAGAATAAAAGAAATGAAACCCCCCCTAAGAATGTCTTCACTCACATTTAGCCAGTTGTTCCTTTGTGTGCATCTCTGTGCTAAAATGGCCATTCTTCCCCACAGCCTGAAGTCATATGCTGAAATAAATGAGACTCACATGAAGCCAGAAACGTGCAGATGCAGGAAACCGACACAAACGAAATGGGCTGGAGAGTGTGGCCAGGAGGATGGTACTTCCCAGGAAGCAATTACTTCATCTCTGCCCATGAAGCAGGCAGCTGTCACTGTCCCCCAGGCCCACGCCAGCCACTCGAAGTAGGTTCTAACCAAACTACCTCCAACAATCAACGTAAATACACTACACAATTGGCTTCTGAAAGGACACCTTGCAACCAACAAGAAACTGTAAGCACAACTTTGAAAAACTGTGCAACTAAAAACCTTGGAAAGGGACAAACACTGCCACATTTTGACTCAAATAGTGTTACGTGGTAGCACTGCAATAATTCACTGAAACAAAAGAATGAATGAGGAATATGTTTATATAGGAATCAGAGGAAGCATGATTAATCATTTAAAGAAATAGGTCAAGAAACTGCTAGGTTCAAATGCTACCGTGAGACACTGTCAGGGCCTTAGGCAAATTCACTTCTCTTGGTCCTGTTTCTAGGTTCATCAAAACCCAGCTTTGGACTAGGGAACCTGTTGCTTTCCAATGCCTTCCTTCTGCGATTCCAGCCCAGATTTTAGGACTGCTCTCCCACTTGCTGTATGAAAGCACTTTCTGTGTATAATACCAAGAGTACATTTCTGTGTTGAATGTAGTTTGGGACCTACTCTATGAGGAAGAATATCATCATGTAACTTTAAGCATGACGCCAAGCCACACTCTAGGTAAGGATAACACGTAAGATGTGGCCATACACCTGTGCGTGCCTGGCAGGGAGATGGGGAAGTCTCATTTAATGAAGCCAGGGGTGCCCGTTGTACCTTAACATCCTCAGTCCACGTCTAGTTCACAACGTCCTTCTGACATCAAACCACAGGTATCATATACTTTTCCATCCTTTCTACCCAAGATTAAAATATGCAGAGCACCGTGATAAAGACGCCTCCATCCCCAGCATGTGGGCTCTCGTTCTGTAGAATTACATACTTTCGGTGCAAAATGACCCCCAGGCTGCAGCGGCAAGCAAGACTGGGCTCCGTGGGGACAGCAGGCCCTGCAGCAGCCACCACTCCTGTCACCACAGTCTGATGCAGCTGCAGAGAAGCTGTGGCTCAGGCCATTCACTTTGTGAGAGAACCGCACAGGAGGGAAAAAGTAGGAAAAGGTAGGGAAGGTAGGGAAGAGGGCAGCTGCAGAGCCAGGGAAGGACCTGTGATGAGAACAGAAAGGAATGTGTCTCCCTGTACACACACTCGGATTTTATGACAATGTGGGCAGGGGGCTGAACTGGATGCCTGAGAACATTCTTCCAAGTTCTTTTGCTGATTTTCTAAATATTGATGTAAAATCTGAACTCAGACAAAATGTTTTAAAATCGCTTCAATCAACATCTTTGTCTGGTGTTCAGCATCATGTCTACGTGATCATCTAGAAAACCAACTTCTGTTCTAAGGCTCACATCTTCCTATAAAGTCCCAGGGATTTTACAAGGGAATGCACCTCTCATTCGCATCAAGAACACACACAACTACCATTAAAGAAATGCTTAATTTACTTACATAATTTTTTAAACACCCAGATTTGAAATACAACAGAGAAGACAACTTTTTGATAGCTCTGCTTTCCAACTGCGAACTGCGGGTGAAGAAAATAACCTGCCATGATTTCTAACCAGTCAACAGCCTGTCTTCCCTGGCTGCAGTAGGAGCAATCTTTCTGAGGTCAGGAGGAAAAAGAACCCAGCTGGTTAGGGGACAGATAATCATCAGTTCTCGGAGGGCTTCCCGGGTCCCAAATCCCCATGTGATACGTGGAAGTAAAAAGCTATCAATGACCAAGCATCTGAACGCTTATCCCACCTCGCCATCTGCTTCTCCTGCTATGCAAATTTAAAATTAATAAGCCTGCTATTAGAGAACAGAGTTAGTGCTGCATCTGTCTTCCTAAAATTACAGATAATTACCAGCCCACAATGGCTTCTAATCAGATTTGAGTGATCCCTTAGACAGGAAGCTAAAGTGCCTCAGCCCTAAACTGAGAAGAAAACAGAAACTGGAAGGCTCTAGGTTTGATTTTTTTCCCCCTTGTTCTAAAGTTGCTATTCCCGAATCTCCTTCTACTGTCTTGTTTATAAAATGTATGAGAAACAGGGAAATTTAAAGACATGATAGAAATGGCCACTTTTTCTAGGTACCAACTTTGTGAACATGATTTTCAGCTGCTGGGCTTTTTCTCCACAAACTGTGAGCCTGGAGTACATTTTCTCCCTCGTGGTTACATATTCAGAGTCAGGGAAGGTGGCTTTAGCAGTAAAGAGGGGAGTGCAGTGAGAAGGGACCCGGCACTGAGAAGGGCAGACAGGGACTCTACCTCGGTGGCCTGCAGCACTCCTGGGCCTCGGCCTTTACTTTTCTATCTGTACAAGGGATCTAAAGGCCAGTGATTCTAGGCCACAACAGCTCTTCATACATACATACGCAAACATCACACGCCTATCTGAAAAGCTATGACACTGGGTCTGATTTCCTGAAGAAGTTGTCTTGTATCATTTCTACTCAAGTACTCCACCTCCTTCCAGACAAGTATCTGAGGATGATGGGCCATCCCACAGCAATGTGTGTAAGCTCTCCTGCTCACGATCCCTGTTCACATAGCATTTTCCAAAAGCATTTGGCGTGAAGTGACAGAAGAATAAGGTTCTTTCAGCCCATTCATTCACCCATTCATTCATTCATTCAACAAATATTGACTATCTACATGCCAGGCACTGGTGATATAACAGGGAACATATATTTTTGTAGGTGGAGACAGACAACCAGAAAGTATGTTCAAGAGTGATCAATGCTGTAGAGGAAATACACCAGGAAACAGGAAAGAAGAATACCCCTAGCCACCCTACACTGGGGTGACACTAGCGTTACAAAATGGAAACAGCAGCCGGGCGCGGTGGCTCACACCTGTACTCTCGGCTCTTTGGGAGGCTGAGGTAGGCAGATCACCTGAGTTCAGGAGTTCAAGATCAGCCTGACCAACACGGTGAAACCCTGTCTCTACTAAAAACACAAAAATTAGCTGGGCGTGGTGGCGCACACCTGTAATCCCAGTTACTCAGGAAGCTGAGGCACAAGAATCACTTGAACCTGGGAGGCAGAGGTTGCAGTGAGCCGAGATCGCGCCACTGCACTCCAGCCTGGGAAACAAGAGTGAAACTCCGTCTCAAAAAAAAATAAAAGTAAAAATAAAAATAAAATGTAAACAGAGAATAAGATACCAAAAGAAAGAACATGAAAGATTAATTGTAACAAAAGCCTTTGTAAGCTGATACTTTCTTTCCTGGATCCTTGTCACTTACAAATGGAAAAATAGGGGGGGTAGGGGGTAGCATCAAAATGATGGTGCTGTTTTAAGATGGCTTCGGGTTTCAGATGTCTGACAGCCATACTCATGTACTTCAAGGAAAAAGCTCTATAAGCCATCTGGACAATGGTTTAATGTCTTTTTTTTTTTTTTCCCCAGAGAGTTTTTAAAATACAGGAAAACGTGTGTGTTTATTTGGCTGCTCTGTGCCCGCACACGTGCAAACTGTGCTAACAGATTTTTCCATGTTTTGCTGAATTTGCCAGCTTGCCATAAACAGGTTTTCATGTCTTTTCTTAATTGGCTATAAATAGCACAAACACCCAAAAATGCAAATCAAGACAAGCTGTCCCTTCAACTGCTGCTGCCATGATGACAGCGAGCAACAACTGGCCAAATCAATACGTGGAGACTGAAGCTGTCCGGCAGAGAGCACAGGGTCCACTGCTTTTCCCATAGCATTTAAAGAAACAAGCGGAAACGGCTCTCCACACAGGACAGACACGTCCTTTGTTCTTTGAATAAATACTGCCAATGCCCAAAATACTTTCTCCATCACACTATCTATATGGAATTCAAGTTCCTTCCAATACCATGAGTAACGCCAGTGATAGACTATGTTTAGCCATAATGACCCATTAGCATTCTTTTTCCTCTAAAATGTTGAAATAATAACATTGAGTGTGCACTCACGAGGTGCCAGGCTCTGAGTTTGATCTCGTTTAGTTCTCGTTGAAGTCCTGTAAGATCAGTACCATATTCTCTCATTTTTCATAGATGAGGAAACTGAGGCATAGAAAGGCTAAGTAAGTTGTCCATGGTCACAGGTTATTTAGGAACTTATCTACAAACTTTCAAAAGTTAACGACTGCCACAATTACAAACGGGTTTTTGTTTGTTTGGTTTTGGTTTTTTTGAGCAGGGTCTTGCTCTGACGAGGCTGGAGTGCAGTGGCGCGATGATGGTTCACTGCAGTGATTCTCGCACCTCAGCCTCTCCAGTAGCTGGGATTACAGGCATGAGCCACCACACCTGGCTAATTTTTTAATTTTTATTTTTTGTAGGGATGAGGTTTCACCATGTTGCCCAGACTGGTTCCGAACTCTGGGCTCAAGAGATCCTCCCAGGTTGGCCTCCCGAAGTGCTGGGATTACAGGTGTAAGCCACTGGGCACAGCCCTACAAATGTGACTCACACAAAGTCAGAGCAGTGAGCAGGAAGAGAACAGAGGCTTCAGTGAGCCTCCTGGCTGTTGCAACACCATATCCCTCCTCCATACCGTAAGGTGTGTACACCCACCAAGCTCCTAGACGTTGCAGACAGGCCAGCTCAGAGACGAAACAGCAGTCAAGAAAGAGAAGATGCAGACATGCGTCCTGATTTCAGCTCCAGCGTGCCTCTCTGCCCTGCAGCTGCACAGGCCGTGAGTCTGAGGCAGTGCGTTTGGTTCCCGGCAGGTAATCTTTTGGGAGACCATCCCATACAATTAGTGTTACACTTCTCAAAAAGGAAGTGTGACTTTTATAGAAAAATCGATTCCATTTGGGAGAAAGGTCTAATAAAACCACAAAAGGATAATACATTCATACAACAACATTAAATTCATCTGTCACAACTGAAATCCCAAGCCCTCTGGGCACACAGCTGCTTTTCTGAGCTGAAATTCAACTCCAGTGAGAAACAGGTCAACTTTTCTAAAAAGATTTCTTTTTCACACGCTTCAATATAAAATTCCTTTCCTCACTTGTCATTTTCCAGATTTAATGGCTCTGTTGGCCTTCCTCTCATTTAGGCCATGAACACTGACTGCATGTCTGCTACGGCCCAGGACTCCAAGGGAGGCACCCTAGGGAACACAGATGACCCAGCACAGCGACACCCTCAAGGGACACACGGGGAAGGCAAGATACAATCGCAGCCTTCACACAGAAAAGAACTTGGCATCCTACCCCGTCCCATTTCTAGAAACAACGATGCTGTCAGTACATTACGAACGCCTGCAGTGTGGAGGCAGGCACGAGGCTCCATGCGGGAAGAGCACCTTCAGAAGGGGCATGCAAGCAACACGTGGAGGCAGGGAGACCCCCCGCACAAGGCAGCTGGGGCCTGCAGAAATGCCCATGCCATCTGGGAAGGGGAGAGAGGACAAGATCTCTCAATGCTCCAAAAATGAATATGAG